TTGAACCATCACAGCTCTCCGCAAAATACTGCTACTGGTTCTTTCGTCGCTCTGTCTGTACCTTGGCCCCTTGGTTGCACTTATGTCCCTTGGCTGCATTAATGACGCTCGGCTGCTTGGCACGTGACTTCGCCTGGGGTGCGACCTTCTTGGAGTGTGCAAAACATTTCTCCCCCCCCAAAAAAAAACCTTGCACTGCCCCTACTTGCCTTTGCACTGTGCACTGTCTGCTGCCCTGCCGCCCTTGGCCTGCACTGACTGCTTTCCCTTCCTTGCGCTTGCCCTTGCCTTTCTGCACTGTCCTTGCTGCACTGCCTTTGCTGCCCATTTGCTTCGCCTACTCTCACTCGCCCTCCCGCCGGGATCCTAGGAATGAAACCACTTTCCTACATCGCCTTGTCTCCCCCCCTAGGAACTACTAAACCTCGCCCGTGCGGATTGCCATGGCCTCATCAGCTCAGCAGCTGCTGACATAACTGCATGGTTCTGCTGGACTCGACTGCCGACGACTGGGATCTCTGCATAGGTCTTTACAGTGGCGGCTGTGTCCATTGTCTTGGCTGTACTGGTTGGGGCTTGAGGGATGATCCGGTCGCTTGCTCGAGTGCCTCGCCTGCGGAACGAGCCACTGGGAGACGCAATACGCGAGGGCCTCTGCATAGGTCTCTGCGCCTACAGCTGGTGTGACGAGTTTGTGGAAAGCTCACTGGACTGGAATAGGTGTCCCCTTGGAGTGGCCACAATAGCCAACGCTGGATGGAGGTTGACGCTTGTGGATAGGCCTCTGCACAGGTCTTGGCGCTTCCAACTAGCATGCTAGACTTCCCGGATGTTCACCCGCCAGGGTCCCCGTTAGGGCGTGGACCCGCCGGCTACGCGACAATACAGATGGGCCTCTGCATAGGTCTGTGTGCTTTCAACAGGATGTCTGCCAGGTTTCGTGGAGTGTGCGATGGCCATTGGTGGGTGGACTGAGTTGATGCCGGATGGTGGTTGGGGTGACGTTGCTAACCGCTGCAGTACCTTGTCTGTGGGCACGCCCCGTGGGGGCCAGCATGGATGGGCCTCTGCATAGGTCCACGCGCCTGCCACTAGCCGCTTCGCGTGTGCATGCAAGCTAGCTGATGGCGGTCCTCTCTGGCCACAGAGCAGTCGATTCTGGTTTTCGGTGCACTGGAAAGCGCGGAGTCATCTGGAAGTGACGAGAACCCTCTGCCGTGAGTCCTGAGGTTCCACTGTCTTGCCTCCCAGAGTGTGTGTCAGCAAGTGATGTGTTGCGTAGTGTGAGCGGGCGCCTGCGCCGAACTGTGCCTTTCCAGCATGCTGAGCATTGACTGGGTTTCACGTTGAGCCGACCCTGTCGCAGTGCTTTCTTAATCGGCTTGATTCTCCGATACTCTTGTGACCTGCCATGCAGTGTCCGCGGACGTTGCCAAGTGGGAGCCAAAAAAAAATATATATATATATATTTATTTACATGACTCCTAATTATCGGTCTGGTAGGTAGGGATCAGGAGGTCAGTTTATTGATCGTAAGAACATCTTCTTCCCGTGGCCATTCTGGCGATCAGCCGGTCAGCGTGGGGAAAGATTAGATCCTTGATCAGCAATGTCGTTCCCTGCAGCCGGCCCTTATCGCGGCTCAGAAGCTCAGCCGCAGACTCCCCAGTTCGGGCTGCCCAGGAGATGGCCACCAGCAGCAGATGTTGGTCAATGGGGGCTGGCTCTACACGCCAGGGCAGGCTCAGGCCCCCAAGAATCCGGCGGCTCCGCCCAGGTGCTTGGCATTTTGCTGCATATGCAGCTCCTCGGGCCGATCCTGCCCCGGCTGATAATGCCACGCTCGAGATCCCCGAGCCTGAACCCCTTTCGGAGGATCCGATCCAAGACGTTTCGGCCTCCTCTGCGGATCCGATCGAAGACTTGTCCCTGATGGTCGAGGCCTAGATCTCTTGGCTTGGTGCTGGGAATATTTCGTCTGATGTTTTCGCTCGGATGAAGTTGGAGTGATCGCCAGCCGAGCTGGTACGCCCCTCCGGCGACCGGAGCATACGTTCGGAAGGATGAAGCCCTGAGATGTTCGAAGTTTGAGCTGTGGCCGACGCCCACGTTGTGATCGCATAAAAAGTTCTTGCCGCCTTATTGCGGGGCAGTTCAGCGAGTTCTCGAGCGTCTGAGAACGGTCTGAGAAAATATATTCATCTGTATTGCTAGATTAAAAAGGCATGCAAGTCTGGGTCTCCCGCGAGGTGCCGGAGGCCATGCGGTCCCCCGCCCCAGACGTCTCAGATGCGGCACGCGAAGCCTGGACCAACTTCGCAGAGAATCGAGCAGAGGAGCTAAGGTGGGTTGGCAATGGGGACGGTTCTAACACCGGCTCGAGTACAGGTGACTACTGCTACTATGCGGGCCCATCTATTGGAAAGTCAATCAGTCGTAGGCAGGATTCTGGTAAAGGTACGCCTAGCTCCTACAACTCCTCACTTGCGGGGTTGCGATTGGTGGCCTGGGGAAGGGTCTAGAACGCCAAGTGTTTGTCGGGCGTGGGACACAGGGCTCATTGCCGTGAGGTTTGTTGGTGGCTACCTGATGTGGAGTGTAGTTGGGGTTGGAACGCTTCGGTCGTTTAGCATAACCGGGCCTTTTGCTGAAGTTGCAGGTTGGTTGGGCCGTGAAGGTGACTTGATCATCGTGATAGGAATTATTATTCTGCTAATTAGCTGCTAATAACAATGATGCTGAGGTAATACTAATTGTTATTATTCGTTCTCTTCTTCTTTTTCCTTCTGGTTGCTAGTCTTAATATTCCTACTATTCTACTATGGATCTTAGTATTATACGCTATCATCATTATTATACTCCCCGAGACATGGGGTTCACTGCTTCCATGGGTTCAAGCGGCCTTTTGAACTGCTTTGGACTTTCGGCTTCAGGTCTAGGGTCTAGAGGACTCTTGAGGTCTAGTACGGTTCCGTAAAGGTTCAGCAATAGAGGGGTTAAGAACTAGAATAGGGTTTGGGATTAACAAGCTTGCCGCTCAGGACCGCGGTAGAGGCTTTTTGCGTGCCGTTCAGGACAGTGCTTTAATGAGTTGTTAAGAGTTCTGTCGTTTGCTGCTTTTTGCCTTGGTCAAATTTATCGGTAGACCATTTTGAGCATGAGGCCCACGAGCTCAAATGGAATTTCCCGGCCACCGAATGCATGGTTCGACTCGCATCCTTTGAGGTCAACATGCCACGGAACCAGTCCTGAGCACACCGCTTTTTTCTAGCATTCTAGCCATTTCCCGATAAGTAAGGCGGATTGCAGAGAGTTTCAACATTTGCAGTTCTTCCTTCGTTCGCTCGTCAATGGCTTATCTAGCGGTATAATGTGCTGCCGCGAAGCCGCAAGCTCGAAGCTCACGACAGGTGGGAGTTGCGCTGCCGCGAGCGTCTTGCGGCGGACTTGCTGGTTGTTGAGGCTGATATTCTTCGGGGCCGATCGCCAACCATCCCTTTGGGACTTCTGGGCCACTTGGCAATTGGCATAGGTGTGCCAGCCACATTCGGCCGGCTGCTGGTGTGATGTCATGCATCAGTCAGGTCTGACGGTCATGGAGGACGGCAAGAGATACATGCTGCCTCAACCCGACGGAGACAGTTTGAGGCCACTCAGCATCAACAGCCTGATCATCCTGATCCGTCTTTTGGTGTTGTGCTGCGGCCGGTTTGCCGCTTCATTATGTGGGAAATGGCAGCGGTTGCTGGACGAAGTTCTCCGATTGTCCCTCTTTTTAAGTTCAGCTGTTCGCCGTTCACGCCTTGCTATCGGTCGTTCTGCTGCATGCTGCTTTTGGCATCTTTCGAGTTCCCCCATATTTTTTCTTTCTGGCTGCAGCTCTTGTAGATATGACCAGTATGAACCTCGACAGAAACAGACATCTGAAGATTCTCTATACCGGCTTTCCGGCTTAACCAGTCTGAGCATGCATGGTCAAACTATGTTAGATACATACACTTTTTCATTATCTCTGCATCTCATTGGCCAGGTAGACATATCATACAATGTGAGTCTAGTGTGGTCAAGCCTGCGCCAATCCGAAGAGTGTCCTCGCCGCCAATTTCGATCTGAGAATCTCGTCCCTCATCCCCTCTCCCGCTCCAAACGCACATCAAGCAAACAAAACCCAGGCCAATACTAAACCTGTCCTGGCCATTCCAAGACTGTCTTCGTGTTGTAGCCAGGCATCCCCCCATTGATCGCAAGCACGATGCATTGCACAAACGCTGAGATCTGCGTGCTCTTAAACACAGTCTGCTGCAGCATCGACTCCTTCCAAGTTCCACCAAAAACGGTGTAAACACAACAATGTCGAAAATAGCCTTGTGTAAAGCAAGATGCTGGAGAACGCAGTGGTTAGGCAAGCTCAAAAAGAACAAACGACATCAAAAGAGCGCTTGATTGATCCTGGATCCTGCTCTGGTAGCCTGTGCAGGAGCGAAATTGCTGCACAGCTTGCTAGTGGGAAGGGAACGCTTCTCTTGTGGTGTGACCGGTACTCAGACTCAGACACCGAAGCACGCGGCATCACGCGGCATATGCGGCTGTTAGCTTTGCTATTTGACACGTGCCGCCGTGGGAGGTTCTCTGTCCAAGAGGACGAGGACCTGCAAGCCATGGTTGCGTCGTGCCGGGAAAGTTGGGCAGTCACTTGGATCAGCAGGGGGTTGGCACAGTGGCACTAAGTGTTCCCGAGCCGATCTCTTCTACACGGTTGGTGGTTGCCTTCGGCAGAGTTTGCCTAACCAAGTATACTTGCGGTTTGTGATGCACAGTGCTTGTACATTGGGATACATCGGGCATGAGTGGCGCCAAGGCCGAGGCGGTAGAACCAGAGACGAGGCAGAAACTGGCACTTTATTTCGCCTGCGCCGATGCCTGGCATGCCCGCATGGTGCAGGCCAGAGTCTGTGAGTATGTTGGATTCCACGACTTGGAAGACGGATGGTACCTTCCGAGCGAAAATATATCAAAATAGGGGTGCGCATTTAGGTCTTGTCCACCACGCCCTGCACTGTGTGGACATTGGTACGGAGTTGGGTCGTGCAGGCTGCGGAAGCTGTGGAGATTCAGAGACTGGGCTGGGGACGCCCTGGCCTCAGGGATTTTTCGCAGCTGTGCTCTATCCACCGAGCGGTTCCTTTCTGCCGGAGGCGAGACAGGTGATGATGATGACAGCCTGGCACTGGCAGTCGAAGAGATGCGACTGAACCGCACTACTTGGTCGCTTGAATCGGGAGGGTGTTTTGAGAAAGTGATGCATGAAAGTACATGCGCTGTAGAATCTGCAGTATGAACCGTCGCGTCCACCGCCGAAGCCATACGTGAACACTGGCCGCGCTTCGCCAAACAAAGGATTGCAAAGACGCCAGAGCTTCAAGACCAGGACGGGGCGGCTGGAGGGTATTGTGTCGCTTTATGGGATCGTGAAAAAAGGGAAGCTCAACCCGATTTGATGCCTCGTCGGAGCTCCCCTGTTTTGAAGGCATCGATGGAAGCGGAGCCTCTTGACTATATAGGCCTCTGAGACGGCAGAAGTTTCCGAATATGTGTGGGCTGCAGCCTTGCACCGGATCGTAATTAGACAGTGTCGCCGTGGGAGTTGCTTTGGCATGGTCGGCTGCAGACTGGCAGATTGATACGGATATTCCAACTGTGTGGATCCTTCTGCCTTATTAACTTGTACAAAGTAGGGACGCAGTAGGAACAGGGGCTTGCTGTACGGGGGGCCACGAACGATGACAAGGCCAAGCCGCTTGTCGAAGCGCTAAGCCTAGGCCTGATGGGTAGTGATTCACACCAGCTTCACATGAATTTTCGGGTCCTTTGTAGTGCTTCCTCGTTGTCAGCCCTACGAAGTGCGAAGAACAATAGTAAATTGCTATATCTGGCTCCCGATTCGCTTAGGCCACGGGTGTTCTAGGAGAGAAGCCAAGTCACTGTACCGGGTCACCCGGGTTGTAGCAAGCTTGACGGTGAAACTCGCTTTTGGTTTCGGAGGTGAGACGGGAAGATCTGGGAAGGTAGAAGCTTCACAGTGCCTGGAAAGGTGTAGTTCCAGTGTGTTTCTGTCATCTTGTCGTCTGTTGGAGTTGCAGATTCCCGAAACCCGAAGGCAAGCATAATTAATTAGGGATTCATGTCAAGGCTTTAAAGTCAGGGCGTAGGGGTTGGGTGATGTGTATCCAGGTATCTCCTGAATGAGCTTGACGAGAACGAGTTGGCGAACCTTGAGAGCCTAGGGTCCTAGATCTTTAAGAGCTATTATTGATCAGTGGTATCAACAATAATTAGACTAATAGGAATAGTTAATGATAACAAGAAGTGTTACTCTGTTTTAGTTTCCTTGTCCGACGCCCTAAAGCACCCTTTCCACGAGATGCAAAAGGCACTGGTATCTCACATGCTTGAGATTCTTCTCTTTCAAGGAGGTGTTTCGGGGTTATTTATGTTCCCTAGCCCTGGCTCCAAGAGCTGCTGTAGAGTTCCTCGCGAAGGCCGCTAGCCTGGAATTTCGGGTGGGCCGCGCAGCTTGCTTGACCAGCGAGAGATAAAGCTGCTGTAGGACACCAACCAAGCCTTCGTACAGTCGCTGTTGATGTCGTCTGAGAAAAGCCATCCTCACCTTTTCTTCCGAGCGAGTCGGCATTGTGGCAGTGTGCCACGTGCAATATGACCTATGAGTGCCGGGAATTACTCGTTTGCTTACTCTGACTTTTCTTGGAGCCTGAGAACTGGCAGTCGGTTTGCACCAAGCTGTTTAGCTCATGGCTTCCTCTCTGACGATTTTGTTCAGAGGGATAGGTGGAGACGATATTGGTTCTGGCACTTCGGGCTTCGACCTATCATAAGATGCACATGCAAAAGCGTTGGTCCCAAGAAAGAATGTGACAGAAGCTTCAACCAAGCTTCAAGTCGTCTCTTCATGGGGATTAGAGACTCGCCGTTAGCTTGGTTTGCTGGACCATCCAGGAGGGTCTGTCCGTGTACTGATTAAGAGTCTGCTTGTGTTTAATATAGGCCGCTTGACTTCTGGACAGAGCATACACGCCCCCTGTCACCTTTGATCTTTTACGTAGGCTGTCGACGAGTCGAAATTCAGAAGTTGAGCAGGTGATCCCCCAGCATTCGCACCTCGAGGTGGACTTTGGCGCGATTGAGCCGACCTGCTTGGCACATGCGCCCAGGGGCTGCAACGCAGTGGGAGTTTCCGTAAAGTTTTTGATCTTGGGGGTTCGAGTCGTGAGGCTTCATTAGCTGGTTAAAGAGCATGTTTTGTGCCAAGAAGATGCGTCTGATCGGGAGCTTGAGAGCAAAGGGGATGCACTCCACATTTCTTTCCGACTGAACTTGGTGTAGTTTTTGTTCCACTGCGGTGCGCATGCAAGCAGAGTTGCACAGCCTTTGACTTGATGTGATGCCATAAACAAATCTTTCCTTGCGGCTGCCCACCTTGTTAGCTGCCAGCCCCAGGCATCGAAGCTTGCAGAACTCATTGGTTTTTCCTCACCGACACGCTTCGTACAGCTCGTGCAAGTAGCCTTTACTGGAATCTTGGTAAAGAGGTCTTGGCACCTTGGGGCAAAAAAAACCCTGCATGTTTCATAGCATAGGTCTCCCGCAAATTCATTGGCAGAAGGCCTTGTTGACCCAAGCCAAGGTTACTGAACCTGATTGCCGTCAACTCAGAAGGATTCGTGATTAGCATAGAGCCCGGTAGTTAATCAATTGCAGCAGAGTTTTGCCATGCTCCTGATCGCGTTCAGGCTGCAGTGGACTTGCCGGACTTCGACATTGTTCTAAATCATGGTGACTTGCCATTGCTGAGGACAACGTCTCAAGGGCTTCTTACGGTGGAGAGTCCTGACTTCCCACAACTAAAAGGTGACTACGCTGGCCTAGCAGATGTTGAGAGCTCCATGGTCTTGCGAGGAAAGAGCATGAGAAACCCCCTTTCTATGGGCCCATGGACAAAGAGGTGCTCCGCCAGATTGCTTCAAGGTGTAAAGACTTGTGGCACCGGGGGCTTCCGTGGTTTTGACGCTTGCTTCGTGAGGCCAGGACCCCTGCTCCTCTCTTCAGCATCTGTGCGTCAGAAGATTTCTGGGATATCCTTTTCCCCAATGTTGGGACCTCAGCTGACTTTACCTTCAGTCTGCACAGATTCTCGCCTTGCTTCTTCAGCTGCACGAGTCAGGTATGTCGACCAGCGCTGGTTAACATGCCCGGAAATCAGTGCTCGATTCGGTTTCACAGTTTTGTGATCGTATGGCTCGTCTAACACATCCTTTGACTTCTGCACCTGAGGTCAAGCATGTCTGCAATACCTTGGGAAGCAAAGACGCCTGCAGCATTCTGGCGAGGAACAGACCGCGGTGCCGTGAATTGGGCCAAGGCCTAAGCAGTTTCCAGCACTGGAACTCCGATTGCGGAGGCTTAAACATCTAGGCTTCCAGACACAGCAGCCTCTGAGCATCTTCTCCATCGATGCCTCGAAGACTCGAAGTGTTGCCAGTTTCGTTGCATGGCCCGCGCGCACATGCCGGGCCGCCAAGTTCGCCAAGGCTGTGGAGCTGCAAGACATGTATCGTGGCTCTCCCAGGACCGCAAGGGGAGTTTCAACATGTAATGATATGTAATGTGGGCTGGGAGGCGGAGCCATGACGAATTGATCGGTGAGACCTGTCACTTGCTCTTGCAGGAAGCGCTTCCTGGATACATGGTCGGAGAATCCAAACTTTGAACTGGCCTCAGACTGGGCCCATGTTCTTGGGCGGTGCTTTAGCAGTGCACTGTAGCACACTTAAGAGCGAAGAGGCGAACTAACGTGTAGCATGGCAGGACTTGGCCTTTTTGGAAGATGACCTGTTGAATGCGACTGTGGTCATTGCCTCGATGTTTACATTGTTTACAGTTTCAATAGCTGTCTCTCCGTCTCTGTCTCTCTCTCTCTCTCTCTCTCTCTCTGCTTCGTCTTCCGACTTCCGACGAAGTTCTTTCAGCATTGTGCAGGCGGCTTGTCTGAGTGACCGTTTGCATCTTTCTCTTCGAACCATATCGAAGGTCAACACTGACCCGAGCTTCGTCCCTCTTGACAAGCCAGGTGCTGAAAGGACCCTAATACTGGTCGGAAGGATGTGTCATCGATTCACTTTCCACTCCGATTCCATTCGCAGCAAAATGTGAGTCTTAGGTGGCCGCGCTGGCGATACTTGTTGGACCTTCCAGGTGGGAGCCTGGGCCTATTGCAACGGTGAAGATGTCATTGGCAAGCTCAAAGGTGACATGTGGCTGTCAGCCTGGGCATCACCGCGCAGGAAACGGCTATTCCGGCTCGCTCAAGCAGAAGCTAACGACGACTTCTGCGGTGCTAATGATGCAGAACGAGACTCGGCAGCACTAGACTAGCTCCTCCAAACTTTGAGCACGAGCCGCATCCTCTAGCAGTCTAGCACACGGCAGTGAGACCGTAAGGTGAATGTTGTGGGATCTCAGCCAGTGTACGAGCACTACCACGGTGGCTTACAGGAGCCTCGCTTTGCCAGATTGAGCTTTGCTGGTCGCCGGAGGCGCATTTGTTGACTAGTTCGTGAATGTTCGTGACCACTTACTTTGTGCGTCTGTCGGGGCTCTTCTCCGTCCTATTTGCGGCTGCACTAGAACCGGCAATGCGTACATGTATGTGCGAATTATGACGACTAACTATGACTCAACCGAATGTTTTCATGTGAGGGGACTAGAGACGGCAGCAAATGCCAGTATCGACAATCTGGATTTAGGCAGTTTGATTCCAGAAGGCGCTTGCCTCGATGCATTCTATGTTCGGTGCGTCTGCTTGTCTGGTCTCCTTGCTCTCCATTTACTCTGTCGATGTTCTGCTCGGCATATACTTGGTTCCTCTGGCGGTACTATGTTTTGTGGAGGATGGAGTTCATGTCCTGGTCGTCTCCATGAACGATGCTGGACAGAAGGTGCCTAAATGGAGCCTGTTCCTTCAATCTGTTAGCTGCATGTGCAGTGATGGTGGTGAAAGTGAAGCATGGGCTCACCTGACGAGGTGGCATGGGCGCAGCAGCATGACGACCAAATGAAGGCTCCTCTGCCCGGTTAGTTCGATGCCCTGAAGAAAGATGCAACCACCCCTTGCGAGTGGCTGAAATGATGGTGTTCCGCTGCGTCTCTGTCAGGAGATGGTTGCAAACGCAAACAGGTCATGACCCTGGTGTGCTCGCATTCGCAGAACATCGACCAGCAGGCAGGTATACCAGACGTGTGACGTTGAGGTACATGGAAGATGTGCAGAAACTGACCCAGTGCTACCTCTGGTTCCTGATCAAGCGATTCGCATCGCTCCTCAGGCCCAGATCGGCCGGCCCGCTGATGACTCCTTTATTTACTTCCGAAGGCTAGCCTCCCCCGGCAAGGTACAAGCCACAGCAGGAGCAAACCAGTGCCTTCAGCAGCCGGGCGCAGCCAAGCTGAAAGGTAGAAGCTTTGTAGGATCCTGTCCATCATCGTGCTCAGAGCGCGGGGGCTTCGGTCCAGAGTGCCAGAGTGAGGGAATGCCCTCGTCCTAGGTCTGTGCGCACCATGAAGGTTCATCGCCGGCCCCTAAGGCCGGGCCAGGGCTGCGACTCTCCGGGACCCCGTAGCAGTCCTCTTGTCCAGGAGGGAGGCGGCGGCCTTCAAGAAGACTTGCGAAGAGCTTCTGGCAGACAGCGAGGAGTAAAGAAGCTTTAGGGTGTCAGTGTCGAGATGCGAGGAAGTCTGAGCCAATCGCCCCAGGTCTGCTAGGCTGTCCCTCTCGTTGGCTGCTTACTGGCTTAAGCTGAGTGTTGCTTGCAAATCCCTTGAATATCCAGTCATATTGAATGGGTTTGATTGTTTGATCTCCGCACCCCAGCCGAGCCTTGGCAATGTCTCGGCGCTTTCCCTTGGCGTTGGCAGCAGCTTGTTTCGAGTCAGCTGGTGTACTCGTCGCCTGAACTGCCTGCGGTCAATCTCCGGATTCGTTTACTGTGGGCTGCCACAGCTCGGGCCTGTCAATTGTTCCTCCTTGCCGTATTACATGTTTTCAACCTTGGCAAGAATTTGAGAGCATAGGCTTCAAGTATGTATACAGCTCCTTTGCGTAGGTCCGGTAACCACGTTGCTGTGCTTGTGGCGGCACTGGCCAATGTGGTGCTGGTGCTGGTACTGGTGCTGGTGCTGGTGCTGGTGCTGTTGCTGGCGCTGGCGCTGGCGCTGGCGCTGGCGCTGGCGCTGGCACTGGCGCTGGTGCTGGTGCTGGTGCTGGTGGTGGTGCGGGCGTGGTGCGGGCGGCGGCGGCGGTGGTGGTGGTGCTGCTGCTGTTGAGAAGGAAGCAGGCATCCTTAGGAATCCTTGTGGTTTCTGTTCTGCCTTGCAGTCGTAGTCTGAGAGCATCGGAACCCAGGCAGCGCCTCTTTTCCAGAGCCTGAGCTCGCGGCGCAAGGGTGGAGGCCATGAGGAAGAGTAGAATTTGATATAAGATAAAATAATATAGTATAGTATAATATAGTTGAATAGAATAGTCAGCACAACCAGCAGCACACCGTGGCCGGAGACACGCTGACATCCTCCTGTGCTGAATTCCGTGCGTACCTACAGTTTGGACACATTCTTCTCACAGTTGTGGTGATGGCCACAAGCGACGTCATTAAAGTTGCGCTTCCGACTATTGTGCAGTATATCTGACTTGGCTATGTGCTGCAATTTGACGTCGTGCCTGATGCATTTGTGGGGCGTGCCGTTCAAGTCATCTTTCAGTGATACCAAGTCCTTCGTTTCATACACGTGCACTCGTCATCTGTGCTGGCATTCACCAAGTCCATTGCTTCAGAAAAATTCAGCACAACCTTGACGTGGGAGCGGGAGCTGCTGGTGACCAGGGCTGGGGCGGTAGTATCGGCAATCAAAGCGGCGGTATACTTGAAAGTGCGTGGCAATCTCAGGATTGGCTTCACCAGTTTCATTCGGGTACATGCTCCCGCCACGCGCCAGGAAATGCTTCGAGGAGACCTCTCTCAGCCCAGGAGGCTCCTCTGCGAGCCCACGTTCTCATGGGCACTTCGCCAGCAGCACGGAGCAGCTGTCCCATGACATGTTGCCAGTGATTCAGGCAGACATTCAGAGTCCGAGATTTGAGGAATATTTGCGCCCCCTGGGTGATCGATTCAATAAAGCCAGCAGCTACAGAGTGTGCCATGTCAGCATGTCATAGTCGCTTGAGCCTAGACCTTAGGTGCTAAGCCCGATGACTGCGACGACGACGACGACTACTAGTATACTAGTACCACTACTCGTACTGCTTCTGCTTGTGTCACTGCTCCTGCTACTGCTACGGCTATCAGCACCACCACGACGACTACTGCGACTGCGGCCACCAGCACCACTACGACGACGACGACGACGACTGCCGCCACCACCACCACCGCCACCGCCACCACCACCACCACCACCCCCGCCACCACCACCACCACCACCACCACCACCACGACCACGGCGGCCACTACCACTACCACTGCCAGCACGTTTCCAATCTTCGCTAGATTGCGTCCGACTGGTTTCAAGTTGCACCTGGTTGTCTGGCTGTGCATTCGTACCTCACATAATTTTGTAGTAAGACTCCGGTGCTCTTGCTCGTGCCAAGGCGGCTCTGGGGGTGGACGTCTCGCTGGCTGGAGCTTCGTTCGCACTGGAGCTCAGGGAACCAGGCTTGTTGTAAGTAAATAGTTGAATCCAGTCTTGCGGTGAGCACGACTAGCAGACAGACTAGCGCTGACATTGCACGATAAGCCAGACAGCCTCCCCCTCTTCCTCCTCGTCCTTCTCACCTGCTGCTGCTCCAACTTGCCACAGAGCCGCCTCCCATTCACTTAGGCTCACCTCCCGCACTCTCATGCGTCCGGATCCCCGATCCGAACGACACATCAGGAACAAAGCAACCTCAGGAGTCGGGCCACAGAGGCAGACCAGGCGGAGCTGCGCGCACGGCTGCGCCCCGAGGTGGGCGAGTCATGGGGGTGAGGCTGGAGATTACTCACAACAGGGCTCTGCAACACATGCAAGAGCAGCGCTAACTGTGAGCATAACAGGCAGACGGTGACAGTTTTGCTTAGTTAGAACAAGAACAGTTGAGACAAATCCAGATGAATCTGCTTTAGTTTATAGGCAAAAGATAAGACGGGGCACTTTGCAGACGAATTGCATCCTTTTTGGCGTGGATTTGTCAAGGGCGCCACATCACTCTCCCACAGCGTTTCTAGCCAAGGGCACCGAGACAGAGCTTGGGCAACGGCAAGTTTTGTCCGGTGAGTGTATGCCGAGAGTTTATTTGGGTGTAAGGTTTATAAGAGCGTGCATAGTCCTTCCAGAGTTGCCACTCGCGGCTACCGGATGTATGTTGTCGTCTTGATTCGGGAATGCCGTGGCTTCAGGTTGTTGGTTCTGGGAAGTTCCGATCAGTGTGGCTTTTTGCACGGAGTTTGTGCTGTGTCGGATGTTCCTGTACGGCTCGGCTCGGCAATACACCCGTCTCTCGCATTATGTGGTGTGTGCAATGCTGTACGCATCGTTTGTGTGATGGCACCTGTTGGCCTGAAAGCTGTGCTTCCAGGGATTTCGTGCATGCCCCACGAATGACAGAAAACCGGAGGGCTAACAGTTCAACAGCTGGCAGCGCAGTACTCCCTGGGCTACTGTAAGCCTTCAAGGTTCCTACTCAACGCAGCCCCGCAGCAGAGGTGCAGTGTACCTTCGGACCCGTGGTGCCGCGAGGAACGTGGCGTGGTGAGAACTACTATGGCTCTGAGGAAGGAACGCAACACCCCTCTTAATGGTCCTAACCTAGCCTAGGGCTTTTTGTTGAGTTGTGCTGCAGCTGAGGCAGATTCTGGTAACCGCTTTTCCTGCAGAGAGTGATTTGCAAGCTTGTGGTGTGGACTTGAAGGCGGCTGGCCGAAGTAGGCTTGTGCTACTGGTTGCTCGTCATGGCAAATCTGGCAGTTCTAGCAGACCTCGTAAGCACCGGATGTGGTCCAGGCATGTTGCAATGCGGGCACGGTCTAGGCTTAGGCTTTTGGTTCTGCCTTATGTGGAAGTTACGAAACGATTGACCTTGGCGCAGGCCCTCGTCATACCCTTCGCTGGCCTGCCTGTGGCAACGAAGAACGTTCTACAAGAGGGCGGATGGGTTCAGCGGGGCCTTCAAGTCCACAATGTGAAACTTGGCTGTTAATTGCCTGCGTGTTGCAGATGCTGCAGTACCCTGTGCCTGTGAGCAGTGCGGAGCGATCGCTATGATTTTGGCCGAGGCATCACAATTCGTCCACCACAGCAGCTGCTCGACCGTAAATCGGCACGTTGATTGTAGGAGCCCACGTGTTGAAGTCGCCGCGAGTTGCACACCTTGCCGGCCTCAAGAGAGTGAGCCGTAGGAGCAGCAACCGTCAAGTCAAGAAGCGACGTTAGACTCCAGTAGACCGGACAGAACCAGTCGTTGAAGTAGGGACATACATGGGATGATACCAGATGCACGTTCAAGAACAACATGAGTCGGCCGTTCTTCCTTACAACCAAGCAGCAATGGGTGCAGCCAGCTGCCACAGCTGCAGCTGCAACTGCGATGACGATGGCATGGAAGGCCGTGGCAACTTCACTGTTTTGCAGACCTCCTCCGCCATGTGCCCAAACGATGATGGTGACGAGTGGCTTGCAGAAGCTGTGATGGACCTCACAGCCAAAAAGTCCGAGCTCGAAGTTACCTTCCTGCTACCACGCACCGGTACGCAGACGCTCGTGTTCAAGAGAAAGCCTTTGGGCCTAGACTTCAACCGGCACATGCCTGTCACTATCAAGCACGTGCGGCCGGGAACACATGCGGAAGAGTTAGGCGTTCAGGAAGGCTGGCAAGTGCAGGCCATCCACGGATACGATGCAACTAGGGCTTCATTCAATGATGTCTACACGGCTTTGAAAGATGCGTCGGCATTGCTGTGAACTTGACGGCGGCGGGCCAGCAGTGATGCACAAGACGTGGCTTGCAGAACCATGCAACATCGTCGAAGTGCATGTCGATGAAAAGACTCCACAGAAGTGTCTTCAGTAATTAAATGCTGTTGCCACAGTGAATGACTTCTCGTCATGCCTCAGCATGACAAAAAGTGGAGTTGTGCCTCCCGCTCGGCTTGTCATATCCACGAAGCCGAACCTAGAGCTGCTGATACAAGCCATGCTGGGGTGGTGATGGGGTGGTGATGGCGATTGGCTTAGGGCAACGGCAGGCATGTAGCTTCCCACCCTCTCCCCATCCATCAAACCCCGTCTGCCTTCATGCTTCTGATTGGTTATTCGAAGATGTGCTGAGTACAGCATGAGAAGGTACATGGAAGGCTCCGTGAGCTTCGGACAGACGCACCCACGTGTGCACTGACCGAGGAAATGGCCATCGCCTTGGGCATGGCGGCAGCAAAGCAGCTTCTGCCGGCCGACCAAAAGCTTCGGAAGGCCCATCGTCGATCGTCCTCAGCTCTACTGCTGCGTACATACCACAGTATACCACACAGGCCTGCAGGCACATCAGAGGATGGTTGCTTCGTTTGGCCAGGGCGACTGGAGTCCTCGCGGGCTCCCATCGACTGGGGACCCAGACCCCATGATGCAGCTGAGCTTGGAGGGCCAAGGAGCGCTGGTGCTGCTTGTTTGAACTTTGAGATGGTGAATGTGATAATCCTTGAACCTGTTTGAAAGACTCGTCGTCGTCGTCCGAGGTGGCAGACTAGCATCAGCACGAGCAAGGGCAAGAGCAACCATATGAAGCGGTAATAGTGACAATGGATCTCCCGGCTGCGGCCCACGGATTGGGTTGTAAGAAAAACCAACAGCAGCGACAGCCACATCAACCGCAACAGTAACATCATGGTTGTGGTACCTCGCTAGTGGCACGTAGCACTATTGGCTATTGGTAGTAATCGCAGCTACAGCAACAGGAGCCGCAGTCGTCGTCGTACTGCTACCGCTGATGCTGCCACTACTACTGCTCCTGCTACTTGCAAGAAGTAGTAGTATTAGTAGTAGTAGTAGTAGTAGTAGTAGTACTACTACTACTACTACTACTGCCACCACCTCCTACTCCTCCTCCTCCTCCTACTCCTACTCCTACTCCTACTCCTCCTACTCCTCCTACTCCTACTACT